TGCTGGCTGCCTTCATGCCCTAAGTCTTGCTGCATACCGTATATTGTCAGAATAGTGAAAAGGAAAATTAAACCTGTAGTACAGATGTGAGGTATAAGATGGGCAGTTAATTCTAGTCTTAGAAATATGTGGTTAATTTGTCAGGTAGCAGAAGATCCAATAAAACACCTACAGGATTCTGTGGTAATATTTCCTTTATGATCTAATAAGGCTTGCCTGAAAATTGGAGTGCAAAGCCAGCCACAGCCATAGAGGCCAGGCAGTGGTGATACACACCTCTAATCCCAGCTCTTGGGAGACAGAACCAGATGAATCTCTGTCAGTTCAAGGCTACCCTGAACTACACGAAATTGATCCAGTCTATAAAAGAAACAGAGTTCACATAAAGGTTATCTCAGCACTTGGGATGCCATGCCTTTAATCCCAGCACTAGAGAGGAATATAAGGTGGGAGGAGATAGGTGGTCTCACTTATTCTGAGGAGCAGTGGAGTCTGGAGATGCAATCTGAGGACAGGATCACCCTTTTAGTCTGAGCATTGGTAGGGGTGAGAAATCTCTAGTGGCTGGCCACTCTGCTTCTCTGATCTTCAGGCAAACTTTATTAGATCATAAACAAATATCACCACAGGATTCTGCCTCAGTGAGCTTCCTCTGCTAGCTTGTCTTAGGTAGAGTGTCCTAGCATCAGAGATCAAGAAAGCAATCAACTGAGGGCTTTCTGCCAAGGGAAACCTGTAAAAAGTGAGGGATGCCTGAAAAGACCGAGAAATTAGAAGGCCTATAGTTTAGTTGCTAGAGTGCTTGACTGGAATGAAGGAAGTCCTGGCTTTGATCCCAGCACACACAAATCAGACTTAGTGACAAATAATGGTTTTCCAAGCCCTAGGAAGATGGATGTGGAAATATCAAGATCATACACAGCTCAGCAGAGTGAATTCAAAGCCATCCTTGGCTTTATGAGACCCAGTAGAAGTACAGACAGACAGATAGACATGTATTCAGATATCATGGAGCAGTGCTGAAAAGGAACAATTTCTCAGAAACTATTTCAGCCAAGCATAACTGAGGCCTGCCCCAGACACTTCTGTCTACCACATGGCATTTGAAGGGTTAAATAGTAATCAAAAGACTTTGGAGAGCTTTGTCTCAATAAATTACATATTAACTGGATAGAGAGGCAAGCAGAAAGACAAACCCACCATCTGTACTCACAGAGTGGCTGTGGGAGCAGGATAATGACTTCTCTATGGCTTGATCAAAAAAAAAAAAAAAAAAAAAAAAAAAAAAAAAAAAAGGAAGTGGGAAGATTGAAGTTAAGGGCAGCCCCAACCTAACATGACCAGACTGAAGTTAGAAAGAGGGGAGATCATGCCAGGTTTAGAGATCTTCCTAGGAGACATTATGCTGAAGGGGACTAATGACCTGCATAGAAAAAAGCAAGGAAAGGACGTTGAAGCAGACACCCATAACTAATCACCGATCTGAACTGGAACCCAGACGCAGAGAAAAACCAGTGAAGAGCACAGAGATCCAGACCAGGCTGATGAAACCCACAGAAACAGCTGACCTGAACACCCAGGAACTCTTACTCCCCAGTCTGATAGCTGGAATACCAGCATGGGACTGATCCAGACCCCAGAAACATGGGTTTCTGTGAGGAAACCTCAGAAATCTATGGGACCTCCTGTAGAAACCCAGTATTTATCCCTAGCATAGGAGTGGACTTTGGGAGCCCATTCCATATAGAGGAATACTCCCTGAGCCAAGACACACGGGGGTAGGCCCAGGCCCTATCCCAAAGGTTATGATAGACTCTGATGACACCCTATGGAAGACCTCACCAATCCAGAGGGAGCAGAAAAGATATGTGACAGATAAGGCTTTAGTTGGGGTAGGGAGTAGGGGAGGATGGGTGGGAGAAAGGAACTGGGATTGTCATGTAAAACAATCCTATTTCTAATTCAAACTTAAAAAGCTGGAAAAAATAAAAAAAAAAATCAGAGAGGCAATTCCAAGAACACCTTGACACTGATACAAGGATACAGTTCATACCACCTTCTAAATTACAGAAGAGCAGCATGGTCAATTTGTGCTGATGCAATGTTGCAGCACCACAGAAATCTGATATATTCACACAGGAAGGGAACAAAACAGCTAGTGAGTAGGGTATGATGGAATTCACATCATTCTTTCATTTCTAGGAAAAATTATAGTTCTTAGAATTCACAAACTGTAAAAGTCACAGAGAAAATGATTGAAATAAAATGACAGTTGAGTTGACACAGGACACTAAGACCAAGTAGCAGAGAGCACAGTGATCGACTCTCCAGAGCCAAATTGTCAGCTCTAAAGACACACACGAGAATCATCACACACACTGAAGAGGTTATATTTAGGAGTGTGTGTGTGTGTGTGTGTGTGTGTGTGTGTGTGTGTGCATGAAATAACAATTAGAGAAATAAAAGAGGCCATGAATTTGAAAGAGAGTGGGGAGGGATATAAGGGAAGGTTTTGAGGAAGAATGGGAAAGGAGAAATGATTATATTACACATCCTCCCCCTAAAAATGTCTTGTGTCTTGTATCCTTGTATTTACAGTTGCCTGGGATTTTTTGGTCAGGGAAACCAGGATTATGAGTTTATGGCCACAAGGTGGTGCTGTGGCAAGACGCTCCACTGAGTGATGCCTCCCATGGAAACCCTGGGATCCTTTGCCACCCTTGAATATCAAATATGAATGGCATCAGGTTTTTGGTCATGTACATAAATGATTTTCCAAAAGGGGAAGTTACTTATGACAACTGTTGGTGTCTCTGCTTCAATTTAAAGCAGCGTAATAAGCTTCCACGAAGTTTTCAGAAACAGATTATGTAAAATGACAAAAAATGAGCATTGTCATACAGATGTGTGAATTGCACTCCCCTTTCCCCCACCCCAGCCAAGAAATGGGAAGAAAAGTGTGGGGAAGGATGTGCTGTGGAAGGCAGCTGACTGCTTGTCAAGGCAGATCTAGCCAAAGCCATTTCAGTAAATTGAAAGGTTCTTGGGCCCAATAGAAAATGTACAGCAATGCCACTGTCACTCAGAGCACAGGAAGACAGGAGGTGAATCAAAGCCAGTGAAAGCCCTGTACATGCTTAGTTGTAGGACAGGGGGCCAGGGTTTTGTAGTGCATATGGGGCGGGGGAGAGGGGGCGGGCAAGAATCTAGAAGGATAGACCACAGTATTTTTTTTTGTACTTAAAATGAAGATAGAGCACAGAGGAAAGAGATGAGAATACTGTTTTTGCAAATTGTAAGTTTCGTGGCTCAGGCAATTGAGGAAGGAGGGATGCAGAGAGAACCAGAAATGATGAGCAAAGCTGGGAGATCACACATGGCTCTCATTCCACATGCTGTTCTACACAATCTCGACCTAGTCCTGCAGAGTTACCCCAGGTAGCAATTCAACTAGGTCTAAAACACAGTTTCAGTTACTGAAGAAAACCATGTCTAAGAATATATCTAAGCTTTTTTTGTGAGTCGGGCAGACATTTTAAAATGAAAAATCAAAATCTTATTAATATTTGAGATACTTCTCTCTGGTACAAACAGTGACATTTGTAGTATGCTTTGCTATTTTTAAACATTAGGATTTATATGTTCTAAATCTGTGCAATGCATTATCAGTGATGCCTCTTCCAATGTTTCCCTTTTCTAACCACATTTCTGATGTCATATTTCTTCCATCCAAAGAAGATGATTGCATCATATTAAATGAAGACACAGATAGGAAAAATCTAGCATCTTTCAGCTATTCTCAGCAAAAAAAAAAAGAGGTTTTTTAAGAATGTGAATGTGAAGACCTCTTCCTCAGTAATATTTTATTTTGGAAAATGAAATATTTTTCATTGATATGTTATTTTTTGCCAATGTGTCAACTTTAGTTAGTGCTATTTAAAAATAATAAACACATGAAATTTTATCAGTTTTAATTTCTCACTTGCCAAATATTACCAGATGGAATGCGTGTGAAGTATAGGTCTTTAGTGACATCTGTAATACTGAGGAGCTGTAAAGGGATCCTGAGACTAAAGGAAGTTAAGAGCTTCTATCCAGATAACTTCCAAATGTGTTGTTTTGAAGGAGAACTGCCCTGCTAGCATCAGCTGTAACAATGTGTTTAATAGACTGCTTGAGACAAATGCACCCACAGAGAACTCTTGACAATAGCTGCACCTGAATATTTGCTCTTTCACCAGTTTGCCCAGTCACTGAAGTTAAAGTAGAAGCTTAATTCTAAGACTCAGGAACCACTTCCTGTTTTCTGTGGCTACTCCAGCCACTCCAGCAATAGTTCTATTAGTATCACTGCTGAAATATGCTTTTAATATATGCATTCCCATTCATACTGCTTTCATCACCCTGACAACTGTCAATACAGTTTAGCCCACCACATTCTCTTGGCATCTTGGAGAATTAAATCAATCAAACAACAATCATTAATGAGGAAGGGCAGGGGTAGAAAATGTCAAGTTCCTTCAGTATTAATATCAACATGCTCACCATCATCACCATTAACATCATTAACACCATAAGTACCATCGCTCACTACCAACATCATCAATACCACCATCACCCTGGTTACCACCATCATTGACACCATCAGTATCATCACCATCATCACAATTATTGTCATCAACATTGTAAACCTCATCAACATTATCATCACCATCATAATCATCACCATCATCTAGATATGGCTAAATCCTAAAAATATACATAGTACTACTTAGTTTTTCATTTATATATCATGATTTGGTGATTCTACTTAGTCTAAACAAATTTTGTAGATGATAAATATTTAATGTAGTATTTCTCATAATGGATTATCAAAGTATTAAACTATTAACACCAAATAAACTATATTGCAACATGCTTTATATTTCAGAAAAGGTAATTTAGATGTGGATTCAAATGTAAGTTCTGTGTTTGGTCATTAGGTACAGAGCTCAGCTTACCTTATCAAGTTCATCTGAAATCGCAATACCTGGGATTCAAAGAGATTTACAAGACAATTTTAGAATCAATCTTTAATAACCTCATGCTACAAATAAAAAATTCTAGTCATAAATCTAGTGCATTTCCTATTCAATTTTGTTCCCTTCCATTGGTTCTTTAAAATAATAAGATATGTTCTTTCTACTTATGAAAGCAAATTAAGAATTAAAGTCAAGGATGACATCCAGGACCTGCTGAAGCATCACAAATGAAAGAAGGAAAGCACAAACAAGCAGATGTCTCTTGCAGGTCCTCAGAGTCAGAGCCAACTTGCAAGACAATCATGGAGATACCTGTCTGTCAAGTCCCTTCCCATTTTTTGTCTTAAATTGTGTGTGTGTGTGTGTGTGTGTGTGTGTGTGTGTGTGTGTCCTTCCCAGGAATTTTCTTGTTAGGGTCCTTTCTAAATACTAGAGCTCCTTGCTGAAACACATCTTCACTGAGTATAAGTCCTTTCAACTAACTCACACCAATATGTTTCTCTATGGATCATTTCCTATTGGCATTTCAATCTCACCCTTCCTGGTTTTATTTTTTACTTATTATTTTTATTAATTTTTTTCATGTTATGATCACATGCCATGTTAGGGTTAGGAAGAATCTACTTGCCTGGACACTGGAGTAGATGTGGCCACCCCTCAGGTTTGGGACAGACAGCAGAAATAAGCTGGTGTCAAGTCTGAGGAAGAAGGATCAGAAGGCAAGAAAAGGTCTAAAAGTCTAAAGTGCAAGGGAACAGAATGTCAGAATGGGATTTGAAGCTCAAGTTCAGTAGAGTCTGAAGGACAAGCCAGAAACAGCTGAGCCACACAGGGAAGCAGAAAGAGTCCTAAGAATGAAGCCCAAGCAAGAGAGTCAGAGTACCCAGTTTTTCCTCCTACAGAGACACAGAATGACTTGCAGAAGGTGTACAGGGTGCTCTACCAGTTCCCACAGAACCTGCACCAGCCCAATGAGTCTATTATACACAAGGCAGAACAGAGTCTACTTCATCTCAGTAATTGGCACTATTAATTTTTTTTTGTAGATAAAACTGGAAAGGTAGCATCTCTGAGAATGCATCCTCATGGCATACTCTGTGATATCCTTTTGATAAAAAATTATTGGTGAGGATCAGGAGATAGCTTCATTGATAAAATGTTTGCCACACAAGAATAAAGACCTGATTGGAACTTTAGCACCTATAGAAAAAGCTAGATTGCACACCTGTAATCCCAATCCGGGAAAGATGAGCAAGGAGGATTCCCAGGGCTTGCTGACCAGCCAATCCAGCCCACCCAATTGATGAGATCCAATTTCAATGAGAGATCATATTTCAAAAACCAAACAGAAAGTCATTCAAAAAAGTATCTGATGTTGACCACAGCCTCCAAGCACATGGGAATACACACACACACACACACACACACACACACACACACACACAAATACTGATTACTAATAATTTATTTTTTGGAGCTGAAGCTATGGCTTATCAATGAAGAACACTAGCTGCTTTTGCATAGAACTAAGTTTGGTTCCCAGCATCCATATACTGGTTCACAACCCTCTGTGATTCTATTTCCAGAGGATGAGCTTTCCTCTTCTAGCCTCTATGGGTACTAGGCACACATATGGTACACATGGATACTTGCATGGAAAACTTTATTCATGAGCATAAAATAATTTGTCACTGCACTGAAAGACAGTCTAGATACTAGTTTAGGTATACGGGTGGTGAGTTCATCATAATACTGATTCAATGACACTGTACAGTGAAGGAGAAAAAAATCTACCAAGGAACAATATGGGAGCTGGTATACCATAGTGGAGAATGTGTCACCATCAGGAGGAGATGACAGATCAGACATCTCACAGCTTTCTGGGCTATTGTAAATATTTATATAGGTCTAACATACATCACACCTTTGTAAAAGATTGGTCTTTTAAAGATACATAGAATTACTAATGACTACTGTAAATAATTCAAATTTTATGCAAATGAATGAACTCTGGGTATTCCACATGGACCGTATTATGGTCTACAACACACTTGTATTCATTCCAGATTATAAAATCTAAATACGTGCTATTTTTACATTTAATACAATTCTACAGAAATGTCCCTTTCCCATATGAATTCAAGATGAAGACTGAACACTTTAAACATAAATATTTAAAAAGCTAAGTCTCCATATATGAGAAAGGTAAGGTAGATGCTACAATGTAAAATTCTTATCCAGAGTCACAACTCTTAGCTACCTGGAGTTAAATCACCCATAGTTCAATTGCTTGGGATTTCTGAGTCTTTTGATTTTTTTTCAACTTGTGCTCAGATGCCTTGAACATGATGAAATAGTTTTCTGACCCAATTTTTAGAAAGCCATCAGTTAATATGTGAACTTCTACACTTCGGATCTGTGAACCCAGTATTCATAAAGATAGCAGTAGTACATCATTTATCTAGCTTATCTAAAATGCAGACAATTACTACTTACAAGTCAGTTAAATAAAGTTACTATCATAGGGTGAGGGATGCTCTAGTGTTGCAGAGGTGGCTGGCACTGAGAGATGCTTCCCAGGCTTCAGAAATGTTCATCAGTTGAGAAGAAAGGGAAGGCATACGTCAGTTGAAGAAGCAATGAGACCCATCATAAACTCAAACTGCCTAATCAGAAAACTTGCTTGAGAGAAAGACCCACCTCATTTCACTATTACCAGTATTTATTCTGATGACCAATCTTAATGGAAATATAGATTATCGTGTAGTCTTAACATTTACATATTTTGATGACTAGTAAGTATCATTCTGTTAAATATAATTCACTTGACTTTCTGTTTTCAGCATCAAAACGCCTAGGGAATTTCTCATTTAATTTTTAATCAAAGCTTACACTGATTAAACATAGTTGTAGGAATTTTAATGAAACATTTCTCAGTGGAAGCAGGAAGCACTAGCCTTGAGGGTGAGTGGTCAGAAATTCATCCCAGGGCCTAGAATGAACACAGCTCTTCCCTAAGCAGGGGTTGTAACTGTTGGGCTTTTCACCACCCATTTAAAGCTTACAGAGACTGGGGATCAGCATTAAACCAAGTTGCATAGATTTGATAGCTACAAATTTGGGCTCATATTTAGAATTAATGAACTTAGAACACTTAATGTAATAGAGAACCAAAAAGCAGAGACACCTGCAAAATATACCACTTGCATCAACTGGTAAACACTCTTGAACATTTTTCAGTTAAAGCCTCTTCAGTCAGGCTGCTTTTAGGGCAGAGAATTCCTGCTTGCTTGCTTGGTTTTGTTTCTGTGTTCTTATATTGTATCTGAGACTGGCCTTGAATTTATAGCAATTCTAATTGAGCCTACTGTGTACTGCAGTAGTGGACATGTGCAGAACTGCAGGATTCGTTTTTGATTGATTAAACTTGGAACAGATTAAATAATATTTGGTTTTTATGAACTCTTTATAAAATTATACAGTGTATCTATCTGGTGTTGGATAATTTCTGCAAGAAAAAGATAGACATATCCATGCTATATGTGTGGTTTTCTCTGAACTGTGCTTTCACTGTTCATTATGGTGGCATTCTAAATAGTGGATAGTTGGAAGATCTCTCTGTCTCTCTCTGTCTCTCTCTGTCTCTCTCTGTCTCTCTGTCTCTCTCTCTCTCTTTCTCTCTCTCTCTCTCTCTCTCTCTCTCTCTCACACACACACACACACACACACACACACACAAAGGAAACCAAACCAAAGTGGTCCTCAACTTCAAACAACATTCCTTATGTTCTACTAGCTATTACCTTCTCTCAGATCTTCGTTTTATAACAAAACAAAACAAAGAAAATCAGTGTCTCAGGTAGCTCAGGAGACTAGCATCAAAATCAATATATAACTGAGATTGACCTTGAACTTCTGGGTCTCCTACATCCATCTTCCAAAGGCTGGGGTTGCAGGCAAGTACCACCACAACTGGCATCCATGAATACTTTTTACAGGAAGGCTGGCATAACTCAACACTCTCCCCACCTCCTACCCACCTCCCATCTACTACATGCTGGCTTCTGCTTTCACTCTTCTTCAAAAACTAAGTTTGGAAAAGTAGCATCATAGCTCATGATTATCAAATCAAACTGAGATTCTTTTGTAATGTAAAAATTGTAAATTAAAAATAAAATGAAATTATATTTCATGTTATCAAATTCACATACGTTTCTCACAGGAAGAAGAAAGCAGAATGAATGTTATCATTTGAATAGGAAATGACCCCTAAAGATGCACAGCTGAGTGCTTAATCCTGAACTGATGGGACCTACTTAGGGATTGGTAAAATCTTTAGGAGATGGAGTCTAGAGAAAACGGTCACTAGGAGTGCACCCTTGGAGGTGATATGGTCCCAAGTCCCTTTCTTGCTCCGTGTTTCTGTCAGCCTCGAGGTGAAGGATGTCCTCTATCATATATCCTCACCCCCACAATGTTCTATGCAAGTTCATGGAGCCAAACAACAACAGAATGAACACTCCAAAACTGTGAGCTGCAGCAGACCCTGCCTCCTGTGAGCTGTTTTGTCAGCTGACTTCTGAAAGAGGAAATAACACAGAGTAGAAAATGAGAAGCTTTCATCCACTCCCAGACAGCTAATGAGAACTGAAGATGGAAACCTCTCCTAATATATTCAGATAAAACACATAGATAAACTATGTAGCTTTCAACTATATACTAGTTAGAATGCCACCCAATGCACAATGGAGGCACAGGGTGGAAACTGAACATATAACATGTGTATTTTTTTGCACAGACTTTATCTAATACCAGATACTTTCCTCCTTGGTTCTATAAACACACTCTGGATTTCACTCAACCTCTCAAAGATTAATTCTCTTCTTTCTTCATCAGATCATTTTACTACAGGAATTCGAAAATGTGTGTGTGCCCTATCCTGTGAGTTTCCTTACCAAGCATCAATGGTTCCCATATCTTTATTTGCAACTTCAGCTCCACCCTTTAT